GGCAGCTGGCCCCCCCTGGGATTTAGAATTTTCCACACTGGTAGGGGGACACCCCCTCCCCCCTCGGGGGCTTGGCCCCCTCGTGTTCGCTTACTGCCCCCCCTGGCATTTTGCTCAGGCTACGGCCCTGGCAGCACGGCCTAGAGGTGCCGACACGGTCTTGTAGACTTCGCGGAAAACGTGTCTCAGAAGAGCAGCGCGGAGGTGGAATTGGAGCAAACACGTCACTTGGGAAGTGCATGAAAACATGCACCAACTGTAAGTAACATGTACATGTACCGAGGAAAACAGAAAGCTTCATTATTGTATTGCTTTTGACTAATAAGCCTTGAAATTGGGGTGATGATGTGAAAAAAGAGACAGGAGAAACATTTGCAAACTCTTTGTCAGTGGTCGACAATGTATCATTTGTACTCGTATATTAATATTTCTTCATTTCTTAACATGTCAATTCAAAAAAGTTATAACCTACTTTTTTAAAAATATAATATGTAATGGCGGTATTCATTTTTTATTTAGGATAATGCTCTTAATTTAAGATTTCATCTCTCATGTTAAATAAGATGAGAAGTTTAAGAAGAGATATCCATGGTTAGGGGGAGGCTGTTACCTTCAATGTAACAATGGAGGCACCTGCGTCTTTAACGACGACGATGAACCAGTTTGCAGGTATGTAAGTCAGCTCACCAAACACAATACAGAAGAGAGAACACAAATGAAAAAAAAAAAATATATATATATATATATATATATATATATATATATATAATTAGTATATAAATTCAGTATATATACAAGCCGCTTAATTGTTTTTTTTTTTCTTTTTTTTTTTTTTTTGTTTTTTGTTTTTTTTTTTTTTGGGTGATATCTCTTACATTTGTATAAAACTATTCATCACCGTATTTTATATTTGCTGCAGCTGTAGAAGTGGTTTCAGTGGTGAACAGTGCATGACACGGCTGACCAATGAATGCCGTAAAAAGTGTGGCAATGGTGGCACGTGCGTGATGACCTTGATTGACGACTACTGCGAGTGCCCGGATGGCTACAGGGGAAAACTTCTTGAAAAAAAAAAAGGGTAAAGACAGCAACTGGTACTTGAAATGTTTCAAGATAATGTTCGGTTCTTCTGAATTCTTCATATTGGTCATTTCAAAATGTGTGCTGGTGGTTGAATAAATAGTGACTCAGGTTTAAATCTGCTTATCACTCACCAATGCAGGGCTTTGTAATTTGTTGAAAATCGCACACGGACCTACCCATTACTTGATTCAGAACAGCAGCCCTCTAAACATGTAGCAAGTAATTTTTTTCTTATTGGATATCTGAATTTTTCCTAATTATTATTATTATTATTATTATTAGTAGTAGTAGTAGTAGTAGTAGTAGTATTTTTCATTATTATGCACGTTTAAGTTTATTTTCATATCAAGATCATTTTTGCGATGTGTGTTTGCTACAAAGTAGAAATTTAAAAGAATAGAGATAAATTTCTATAAAAATGAAATGTGTTTGAAAAACTTACTTTCAGTGTTTTTCTGTTTAGTTTTTAATCACTAAGCATGGGGATGAATACTGTGAAATCTGTATTTGGACACTACATTAAAGAGTTTAAAACATCCAAAAATACTACTGTAATAAATATTTCTAAGCGAGGCATTTGACAAATAATGAAAAAATCTATACTTATAATGTAGAAAACATTAGCAGTACCACATCCCATGATTATGGAATGATCTACAACATTTGTGAAAGAAACATTGGTATTTCAACTGTTTTTAATACGCGGGGAGAGGCGCATTAAGCATTCAAATGATTTCCAACAACAACGTTAACAAAGGCTTAAAGCTTTGGCTATGCAGTAAATACAGCGTGTTTACTACAAGCTTTATTATGACCACTTATTGTTGAACTCTAAATTCACAAAAATGTCCAAATACACCAGCTTTACATTTAGCTGAGTGACTAGTTTCTTGTTTTCTTCTGTATGTTCAACTGGTCAAGCTTCCTCTCGACGAGAGGCTGGCTATTCTGAAAAAACAAACAAACAAACAAACAATATATATATATATATATAGTAAAATAATAAGCCGTTGCATTTTTAATTGCTTAATTGACTGTACATTATAAAGTTTGCCTTATATTACTTTACAAAAGAATCGGAGTATCGACCATCGGATATGACAATACGCACGCACAGCTTGGTTCTCTCTTTCTCCTCCCATCTCCCTCTACCTTCCCAACATCTCTCTTTCCCCCGTCCCTCTTTCTCTCTCTCTCTCTCTCTCTCTCTCGTTTTTAACACACAAACACACACCCACTCACACTCGCACGCACGGACACCACGTCTCACCACGTCTCTCTTTCCCTCTCTAAAAGACTTTTCTGTCTTTATGTAAACTGATACCGTTGAGCAAACTGTATTTGATAGTTTAGAAAGTTTTCTGTGGTGCTGATATCCCATGTTTTTATGAGCCAGTAACTCATTCTCACAATTTCTCACAACAATATCACTCAATTGACTTGTAGAATTGACTACTCGGTTTAGCAGTCTTAGGTTAGCACAATAATCAACATCTTTATGTAGAACAGGTAGCTGGTCAGAATATGTATTAGTGAAAATACTGCCATGAAATATGTGATAACAGAACCTTTTATTTCGTGTGATCGATTGCACCACAGCGGCAGTTGGGGTACGTTCCGACGCAGTAGCAACTCCCATGGTCGCTACTACAAGTCTGACCACAGCAGTTGCACGTAGCTTCATACGCAATTTGCCCGGCTGTGTCTACATAAAAATAAAAAGAATACAAAGATAAACATGTGACTTTTCATTTTTGTGGAAGTTCTAGATTCAAATATCAGGAAAGTAAAGTAACACAATGGAAATAAAATCCAGATTCTTACCAATTTCACTTAAAAATAATGCCAGTTATTCCCGGCACAATCAATGCCCTTTCCGAACCCAAAATACATGTTTTTGGTCAAGAGTCTTCTTCATTCTTTACTGCCGTTTGTACAGGGGTTGGGGTAGGGGGGACAAAAGTAATGCACCATTTTGCTTGAAGGAGAAAAAGGGCTGGGTTTGTCAGGTTTTTTTCAATTAGTATTTTGTTGAAAACCGGCTATGTGAAGTAAACTACTTGACTACAAGATTACAGACCAATGTCCTTACATAATGCATGTCATTATGGAAGTATAACTTGTTTCACTCACCTTCTATGGCAACACTGGCAAAGAGCACCAAAAGCACAAGAACGGCGCACGACATCATTTTTCTCCAATGAAGCAGTCCTAGCAAAAGATTGAAATCTCTGAAATAAGTTCTCCACTAAGAGGCTTGCTATCTTACGCAACCCAAGCCGCTATTTATACGATTCTGTGCGAACAAAGGAAACATATAAAGTAGTATCGCCATGAAATATGGTCCCAGTAAGATATTCCCTGTTTGAAAAATTTCCTGAATCATAAATAGACAGTGTTATGCAATAAAACCATTATCATTAGTCAAAGCGTCTTCCAACAGTAAAAGTGCACCCATTTTTTATTATTTTTCTCTTTTTGTAGTTTTTCAACCCAAATTACTTTGCAATCATGGTTTATCTTCATCGATGACAGGAGTCATTCAATTCTCGTTGCATTTTTAAAATTAATATTCAAAAAAGGTTGACTCGTTTGGTGAAAGCAATCTTGTTCTCTATAAATTAACTATAAAATAAACAATTCAGGAATTTGCAAACACATCTGTAAATTATTTTTTTGAAAAGTAATTCCTGCAGCACATTTACCTTAATTCAAAACACCTACCGTATTCCCATTATTTGTTTAATTCTTTAAAAGTTCCAACTAAATATCTTAAATTGAAGTAAATGAAATGTTGGTCAAAATGCTTAGCCGACATTTCGTTTTCTCTCCATTGTTCTCAATCTTTAAATTTTTATTATCTTTTTTATTTTTCAGATTTTTTGTCAATAATTTCATTCATTTTATTGCTTTTTTAATCTTATTAAAAGCCAGACCAAGTTTCAGCATTTTGTCTTTTAGAAAAATCTAGAAGATTCATTGCATTTGATTATTGTATATGGCGCTGTATTTGATACACACCAAACATCAAGCAAAAGACATGAATATGTCCTATCGCTAACTTTCTGCCTGATGATACATGCCTTTATCTCTAAAATATATCTAATTCACTGGAGTTTTCATTTTGAACTATTGATGTCAGCAACAGCTCATGTACTCATTTATGTACCTATTGGTTTTTCTACTCTCCTAAAGTTCGGATTTAAACAGCTTTTTTTTTTCTTTCAAATAGTAGTCGGCAGTGATCTAAAATAAGGATATAATACAAATCACGATGAAATATGGTCCCAGCAAGATATTTCTGTTTCAAACATTTCCTTAACCATTATATATACAGCGTCACGCAATAAAACCATCACCAATTTGTCAAAGCAACTTTATTTAACAAAACGCTGCACATACTGTAGAAAATTGATCTTAACACTGAATCACGTGAAAGTTATCAGAATTGGTTGTTTTAACATCGAATCTAAAATACCTAAGTAAGAGGACCATATGATATCTCGTAGCACTTATATTAAAACTGTTCATCATACTGCTTTACTTTTAGAGCAGCTGTAGAAGTGGTTTTAGTGGAAAACTGTACATGACGCAGCTGTCCAATGAATGCCGTAAAAGGTGTGTCAATGGTGGCACGTGCGTGATGACCTTGATTGACGACTACTGCAAATTCGGATGGCTACAGCGGAAAAATTTGCATGAAAAGAATTAATACGGCATCTCGTACATGGAAGCTTCAAGATAAAGCCTCAGTCACAACCGGACGCCCGAATTTCAAGACCGTACGTCCCCTACGAATTTTGGGTGCAGTGGAGGCCGTGGAGTTCCTAGAGGTAGAGAAAAATTTTCAATGAAAAGGCACACGTCTGCCCTGCGAGTCGCAGGGGCCACGTCAGATGCCCTTCCAAGCACGAACGCTAATTACAAGGTGAGATGACCGTAGAAATTGTACTCATTTCTTGAGTTTGTCGTGCTTCCTGCGTACGTGGAACGCACTTGTAAACATGTACGAAGATAATGCAACGCACGGCGAAAGTAGTTCCTTTTTGCGTGACTTTTGCTTCACACCTGCCTCACACGCCTGTTTTTTCTCTGATTTATTCTTCCTCCCTTCTTTCTGCTCTCTAAGCTTCTATCTCTTGCTTTTTGGAACCAAATAAAAACAATCATTCTTTGTTGTTGTTGTTATCCGCATGTTAAAGTGTAACATAAATTTATATATTATTTATATTCATATAATTAAAATGTTAATTGCTGCTAACTTAAAATACTTAATGGTGTCACAAACTTGGGTCTTGATAACGACATTTGTGGCGTCGTGCCACCAAATGATTGGTTTTTAAGCCTGCCGTTCGGATAAAATTGCATAATTATCATATTTTGAAAAATTTTCGCCGATACTATAAACTTGTCTCGTCATGACGGCTGGACGGCTGGACGGCTGGACGTACTGGAGCCATGCCCCCCAGTGACTAAAGTAAACGATTTCGTAAACTGGAACGACTATCATGTCGGTGAAAATAACAACTACCATCCTGTGAGTGATATAAATAGCGTGATGTTAATAGAATAACTCTAGCAGACTGACGAAATGGGAATGAATGAAATAATTATGACATTTAAGGTGCAATAGCCCTGCACCATCTCTAGGAAAGCTCCCATGTCTTGGTGCTACTTACAGAGAAGAATCACGCCTAAGAAGCTGCGGGAGAACCAGGGCACAGTAAGGTGAGTTTTTTTACCACGATAATTATTGCTTCCCGATACTGAATTTGGTTGCAGCGTTTAAACAAATATGCAGAGTTAAAAAATATTAAGAGTTAAGAAATACAAAATCGCGGTTGCTTTATAAATATGGGAAACACGTGCAAACGCCTCACTTAAAGATTATTTCAGTTGCCGCCTGGAGCCCTTGGACACCTTATACATGTAGCTGTTACAAAGGCGTCAACGGTTCTGAGGGATGTGGGCAGCACGGTCTAGAGGTGGCGACATGGTCTTTGTAGGTCTCGCAGAAAATGTGTCTCAGAAGAGCAGAGCGGTGGTGGAATTTGAGCAAAAACGTCACTTGGGAAGTGCTTGAAAACATGCATCAACTGTAAGTGGAGGAATACAGAAGGTTTCATTCATGTAGTGCTTTTGACTAATAAGACTTGAAATTAGGGTAATATGATATGTAACATCCGTATTTATCTATCTATTTATTTGTTTATTTATTGAAACTTTTTTCTTTTAATTTGCGGCTTCATCTTTCATGTTGAAAAAGATGAGAAGTTTAAGAAGAGATATCCATGGTTAGGGGGCGGCTGTTACCTTTAATGTAACAATGGAGGCACCTGCATCTTTAACGACGATGATGAACCAGTCTGTAGGTATGTTAGTCAGTTCAATAAACATAATGCAGAAGCTGGAACACAAATAAAAATAAACGTAATTGAATATATTTACAAATATGTATACATAAAGAACCAGAATATAGAATTCCATGTGATATCTCGTAGCACTTTCATGAAAGCTGTTCATCACATTACTTTATTTTACTGCAGCTGCAGAAGTGGTTTCATTGGAGAACATGGCGAGGCTGACCAATGAATGCCGTAAAACGTGTGTCAACGGTAGCACGTGCGTGATAACCTTGATTGGCGACTACTGTGAGTGCCCAGATGGCTACAGCGGAAAACTTTATGAAAAAAAGAGAATAAAGACAGCAACTCGCACTTGAAATGCTGCAAGTTAACATTTGGTTCTTATGAATTCTTCATGTCGTTTTTTTTCCAAATGTGTGCTGGTGGTTGAATGAGTAGTGACTCAAGTTTAAAGCCACTTTTTATCACTCACCAATACAGGGCGTGGTAATTTAGTACATATCCCCCACGGACCTTATACCCGTTACTTGGTTCAGAACGGCATTTTTATTGGATATCTGAATTTTTCCTTATAATAATAATAATAATAATAATAATAATAATAATAATAATTATTAATAATAATAATAATAATAATAATAATAATAATAATAATAATAATAATAATTATTATTATTATTATTATTATTATTATATATGTTCATGTTTCTATCCATTTCAAGATATCATTATTTTTGCTATGTGTGTTTGCTGCAAAGAAAAAATTTAAAAGAATTGATATGAATTTCTATAGTCATGAAATGTGGTTGATAAACTTACTTACAGTCTTTTTCTGTTTAGTTTTTAATCGCGAGACACTGGTATGAATACTGTGAAATTTGTCTTCGTGTTTTGAGTTAAAAACAGCCAGAATTACTACTGTAATAAATATTTTTAAGCAAGGCATTTGACAAAAAATTAGAAAAGAATTATATATTCATAATACAGGAAACAAATTGATACTTTATGTGCTTTGGCAGAACCGTATTCCATGTGGAATGATCTACATTGGTCAAGAAACATTGGTATTCAAATTTTTTATTCTATTATTTTTTTTATACGCTAGCAGAGCCGTAGAAAGCATTCATACCATTTCCAACAACAACAAATGTTTAAAACGTTTACTATACAGTAAATACAGCGTATTTTAATACAATTTTTATTATGACCACTTATTGTTTAACACAAAATTCACAAAAAAATCCAAATGCAGCAGCTTTACATTTAGCTGAGTAACAAGTTTCCTATTTTCCAACTGGTCATGCTTCCTCTCGACTGGAGACTATTCTGAAAACAAATATATATATATATATATATATATATATATATATATATATATATATATATATATATATATATATTGTAAGTATAAACTGAAAAATAATAAACCGCTGCATTAAACTGACCATTTAGAATACAGATGGATTTTTTTGAATTTGCTTATTTGAATGCACATTACATTATTTGAGTATATGACTGTGATCTTGTAGTATGTAAAATGGAGGATACATTGGCACTTTTTTGTAGTTTGCAGCTAAAAATTTTCATGAAAAAATAAGAAAATTAAAAATGTGCACACAATGAAAATCTGACTCCCCCACGAAAATTTGACTCCCCCTAATTGCAATTTACCAAGTACCACAGGTAAGGCCTGGAGCACTGAAATGCCTGTGGTCATTGCTTTATTGCAATCAACTTGAGATCACAAGGCTACCACCAAACATCTCACAGCCCTGGCAGCTACTTAATTGCAATTAACCAAGTGCCACAGGTAGGACCTTGAGCACTGAAATTATCTAATGCGAAAAAAAGAAATGTAGAAAATGTATATCCAAATCCTACAGGTAGTAAGATGAATGCCTTTTGAAA